GGGGGGGCAAGCCACCTCCTCCCAGCACCTTGCCCCTTGGTGGGGGGAATCTCAGGGCAGGGTCTAACTCCAGCTCTAAGGCACTGGGAGGACCTGGGAACCAACAGGGCTTGGGCAATGGGGCGAACATCCTTCAGGCTCTGGTGCTTTGAGTCCAAGCCCAAGAGGCTGGGCTGGTGGGCCCCTGATGGCAGGAGGCGACAAAGGGCGCCCACTCACTGTCTTTCTCCTGTACCATGACGGTGTGGCAGATGGCCAGCAGACGCCAGAACTCCTGTACCACTCTGTCCAGCTGGCCTCGGACGGCGAATTCCAGGTCCTTATTGTAGAACTGGAATTTGCCATCAGCAAACAAGTTCCAGGAGTACGGATTCTGCTGGAGGAGGCAGGGAGCTGGATCAGGTGATCTGCCAGCAACCCCACCCAGGCCCACCCACACTGTTCCAGCCAGACAGGGTCCACAGGGCTTACCTTTAGGAGTGTCGCACGCTCATCATCTGAATCCGGGGAAAGAACCTGCTTCAGGATTTGGCTTTCCCCAGGAAGCCACACTTAAGGGTCCCCTGGTCCCCGCCCCAAGTTCAGGCTTCCAGGAGACACCTGATACCATCAAGCTTGGGCCCACATGGACCCTGGTCTGTTTCTTAGTCCAGGTGTTGATCCCAAGGGTAACCTCACAAGAAGTTGTGGGGGCAGGGATGGGGCAGGGGTGGGGGATGGATGAGGCAGGGGCAGGGGGGTGGAGGCGTCACCGTAGATGCAGCCATTGATACAGCACTTTTTGAAGGTCATGATGTTCTGTGTCAGTGTCCCGGTCTTGTCTGAGAAGATGTACTGCACCTGGCCCAGCTGGTCATTGAGGCTGGTGCTGCGGGCCTTGGCCGGCATGTCCCGGGGCTCGTAGTACATGCTGAGGTCCCAGTTGATGAAGAAGCTATTCCCTAAGTAGATGAACTCAGCGCTGCAAGCGGCCAAGTGCACACTCAGGTCAGCTTGGCTGCAGCTGCCACGCCCCGTGGGGAAGGGGACCCTAACCCTCCTCCCCTGATGAACTCACATGATGAACATGGACATAGGCACAATGACACTGAGCAAAATGAGGAAGCCCCAGAAAATGAAGAATGACTCTGTGGCCTCCGAGCGCGTGAACAGTACCGACAGGTAAAAATGTTTGTCTTTGAGTTCTTTCATTATGAAGGTGAAGCCCATTGTTAGCAACAAGGACGTGAGCACCAGGGACATGAAGATCTGTGAGTTGGATGGAGAAGAGTAGAGGCAGGAGGACCCCAGAAGACATGGGGATCCATCGAGGGGATGCCTGGGCTAAGGGAGGGCAAGAGGGAAGAGGGCTCTCTCAGGGTCCTAGGCCGGCTTTGGGGCTCTTAGCCTCTAATCCTGGCCTCTGTGTCCTGACTCTCCTTGTCAGGCTCCCAAAACACTAACAGAAGAATCTCAGGGTAGGCCTGTCGCCTCAGTGCTGTGCACCCACAGGAAGATGGGAGGTCAAGGTTAGCCTGGGCTACATAGCAACAAAAACAAGCCGGAGGAACAGAATTGGATGAGGAGACAATGGGAAATCCAGGGCATCTCCAGAGGCGTGGAATCGTCACTCCGCTCCTCTGAGGCCCTACAGGTGCTCTTGGTCCTTACCAGGATAATGAATTTGTTTATCAGCAGGTCCAGCTTGGTCCTCTTCAGGTGAATCTTGCCACAATTCTTCATGATCTTTGTATCTAAACCTTCAAGATTTAAACCCATCATATACCTGTCCATCCATTCATCCATCCACCTACCCATCCACTCACCCATCCATCCATCCATCCATCCATCAACCCATCCATCCATCCACCCATCCACCCATCCATCCACCCATCCATCAACCCATCTATCCATCCACCCATCCATCAACCAATCCACCCATCCATTCATCCATCCATCCACCCATCCATCAACTAATCCACCCATCCATCAACCCATCCATCAACCCATCCATCAATCCATCCACCCATCCATCCATCCACCCACCCATCCATCAACCCATCCATCCATCCATCCATCCATCCATTCATCCACAAATCTATCAACCCATCCATTCATCCATCCACCCATCCATCCATCAATCCATCCATCCATCCATCCATCCATCCATCCATCCATCCACAAATCCATCAACCCATCCATCCATCCATCCATCCATCCACCCACCCATCCATGTACCTTCCATCCATCTGTCCATCCAGCCATCCACCCTTCCTACCCTACACAACAACATTCCATTTTCTCAGCGATAACCATTTGACGGCATGGAGGGCCCGCATCACATCAGCAATCACGGCAGGCCCTGGGGCCCTCACCCGCTGCAGTGTTCTCCCTCCACCCCCCAATCCACACGCCCGTGCACTGTACCAGCATAGATGACCAAGCCATAGCAGGTGTCCGTGTTTCGGATCCTGCAGCCTCGCAGGAGGAGGTTCCCGATGCCCAGCGGGTACCTCCTGCTGTTCCACTCCAGGCTCCCCACGAAGTGATGCATCCGGCTGTTGGGTTCCTCACAGGTCACCACACCTATGGGGACCCAGTGAGCAGCGGCATATCACGGCCGCAGCCAGGTCCCAGCCCCACAGCTCGCTGACACAGTCCTATTGCCGTCTGACTCAGACCACCTGGCCACCTCAACATTTCTCTCGAGGCACCCAGCATTTCTCAGCCTCCTCCAAAATGCTCCAAAGTCCACCAGTCACGGCCTCGGAGCTTTTGCATACACTCTTCCTGCAAGCCAACCCCCTCCTTCCTCCCTTCCTCCCACCCCTCCTCCTCCTTTGGGCTTTAATCTTGGATGGGTGTGGCTGGACTGTTCATGCCTTCAATGACATCAGTGTCTGTGAGCTCCCCTCCACAGACACCCCTGGGACCCTCATAGGCCTGCACAGAGATAATCTGCAGGAGGCAGGAAGGTAGCTCTGCTCTTCACAACTCAGTGGCCAGTGTTGGTTCAAACTTGTGGAGTCTGACGCCATATTTAAGCATGGCATAATTTGGTGAAAGCGCATTCTGGTGGTGACTACCTCGATCTCATGTGTACAGCAAAGCATACAGAAATCTCCCTGAAGAACAAGGCAGGCCTACATTCAAACTCCTTGGGAAGCCCAAAAAGATCAGGTCTATAGACTGATTGATACAAAATGACAGTGCTGTGCAGGACCCAGGCTGGTCTCTGGCCACATGGCAGAGGTGCCAGCTGGTGGGCATGTCATGTCGGGCGGAGAGCCGGGGTATTGCACTTCTTCCCTTGAGAGAAGGACCCTGTGTGCCTAATACCTCAGGTTCCCCAGTGTTCCTCTGTGCCTCTCACAATCATGCACCAGGCAGCGACCCCAGGGCCTGGCCTAGCACATGCTCAGTTAGCATGTCAGGCGGGCAGGGGAAAGTTCCAGGGTAGCATGTGTGTGAGGGCAACCTCTCTATTCGTTGGCCTCTTCCTTTAAAGGACAGGGCTGCCCCTTGCTGAAATGTTCCGTGGCCAACAAGTCAGGACCCTGAGAGACTGTCCATGCCAAGCATCCTGGGATGTCTGGGTTCCAGGGAAAATGCTGAAGTCAGTGTCCCTGCCTGTTCTCCAAGCCTGCCCCGCCCCCACGGGTCACCTGTGACCTGTCGGCCCTGGGCTCTCAGGACAGCAGAAGATCATGGGTGAGGCTACCCTCTGCCAGAGCCAAGCGTCCTCAGATTTATCTTTTCTTCATTTTGTTGGTTTTTTAAGAGCGTTAAGGTTACACATCTGTGTGCATGTCTAACGGGGCCTGTGGGGCCCAGAGGCCCTGGAGCACTTGGAGCCAGAATTATAGGCTGTTGTGAGCCACTGGGAAGCAAAGCAGGTCAGTCTGTGAGAGCAGCAAGTGGTCCTAAACTAACTGAGCCATCTCCCCAGCCTCCTGAGTGCCAGAATTCCTGTAGGCTCTAAGGAGATTAGAGAAGCCAGCCTGGGTGCAAGGGCCAGTGGGCCTGGGCCGGTGTTAGGAAGAATGAATGCATCTGTTGAATGCATCTGTTTCTGTGGCGCTGAGAGTAAATCGCCTTCGCGATAAGACAGCAAAACAGCTGCATGTGCTTGCCGGCTGCAGCGAACTGTGAGGGCAGCGCCAGGTGGGACTCCCTGTGGCGGACGAAGAACTGCAGGGGTGCAGGGGGTGGGGCATGGGCCGCTTTCCACGCGTGACATGGTGGAAGATACTCCGACACCACAGGCACAGGACTGCCCTGGCCTGTGCGGGACTCCGCCCACCCTCCACCTGACCCAGCAAAAAGAGGCGCAGAGGCACCCAGAGCCACCTCCGCTCGCTCCCTTACCATGGAAGGAAGCCATCTTTTTCGGGCTAGTGAGTTCGAGGTGCGTGACTGTCAGAGCCTGTCTGAACTTCAGGTTGGTCTCCCTGGGGACAAGGGGTGGTGAAAACTCTTAAGAACGCAGGCGTGGACAACACCCTGAGGTGAGAAGCCATACTTCCTCCAGGCCCTTGACCGCTTTAGCTGAGCACCTACTGTGTCAGCAGAAGGATGAGGCCCAGAGAGGGAGAGGGCCTTAGCACACGTGCCAAAGGGTCAAGGCTGGGTCGAGGCCTTTCGGCCTGGGTACAGACACACTGTTGCTCTGAAGGCTGGACTGTCTGGCCCTCTCTTTGGCCACAGGGGAGGAAGGGTTCTGCTGCCTCAGCCCCCAGGGAAGCTATGGCTCCTTACCCATCAATGTCTGCAGTCTCCACGTAGCACAGGCTACTGGGCTCTGTGCTGGCCAGCAGAAGCATGTCGGCCTGTGGTGGGGCAGGGAGGAGTCAGGATTGCTGAGGGAGCCTCCCCTGGGGTGCTCCTCGGTAGAGGGGGACTCACCGGGACTATGTTGTCTTTTCTGAGACGCACCACATCGCCCACATACAGATTCTTCCATTTCTTCCACAGGAAACTGGAAGGAGGGGGTGTGGCTTCGTGGCTTTCACTCCCTACACACCCGGCCTGCAACCGGCCAGGCGCCACCCGGGGCCCCTGCTCCTGCTGAGCTTCCAGCAAGGCTCAGCTCAGCAGCTGCTGCCTCCAGGAAGCCTCCCTTGACCTCCCTAGGCCCCTGCCCCACCATAGGTTCCATGTCTCCAGAACCCCCTATCCATGTCCTTCTCAGCCTTTCCTCAAGGGGCTCCCACCAAGCCAGCTGTCAGGCCTGCATCCCAGAGCCAGCCCGCAGCGAGGTAGACAGCAGGTTCCCAATAAACGCAGGCTCGCTCGGGTCCCAGTCAGACTCAACTGGGAATGGGCTTAGTGTGTGTCAGTTTGCCACAAGTGTCGTCTGGGAGGAAGAATGTCAGCTGAGAAGACTCCACCAGACTGGCCTAGGCAAGCCTGATTGACGCGGAAGGGACCACCCCCGGTGGGCGGGGTCGCTTCTAGGCAAGGTGGTCCCGGTTGTGTAAGCCAGAGAAGTGGGCCTCAGGGAACAAGCCGGTGAGCTGTGTTCTTCCCCATCAGCTCCTGCCTTGAGTTCCTGCCCCAACTTTCCTGTCTTAGACAGTAAATTGTAATCTGAAATAAACCCTTTCCTCCTCAAGCTGCTTTTGGTTATGCTACTGACCACAGAAACCAAACTAGGCCAGTGTGGAGGGTGCTCGCCGCCCGGTAGCCTCCCTCAAGGGTTACTCTCTTTGCCCCATTGTCCATCACGCCCACCCTGACCTCAGGCCTCACCTCTTCCCCCTCAGGATCTGGCAGGGCCTGTTGTTGATGACCTTATCACTCCTGTGTCGACCCTGAACCAACAGAATGAAGATCAGGGAGGGGGTCCTGTCCCCCATCCCCACCCTGCCCAGCTGCGCTGTTTCCCCACTTTCAGAGTGGCTCCCCAGGACAGAGAGGCGGACAGAGCGGAGGGAGGCTGCCGAAGTGACTCCCAGGTGAGCGAGGAGGCCAGCATGGCCACCCGAGGCCCCCTGGGCTCACTCTGCTCTGTGGGTGGTCTGCGGACAGCCCCGGCTCCCACACCCGGCCAGCACCGTCCTAGCCGCACTCACGATATCATCCACCAGGTCACGGGTAGCCCGGATAGTGAGCAGGCAGATCAGGGGTGCAAAGAGCGTGAACCAGGGCAGCGTGGAGATCTCAGGGATGCTCTGTGGAGACAGGAGATCACAGCTTCCGCCGTCCCCCTCCTGAGATCCTATCAGACCACAGCAGCCTTCCCTTCTGTCCTATCCCCACATTAGGAAAGCAGGCTCCTCCTCTCTCAGATCTGAGCCCTGTCTGTGTCACCTCCAGGCCACCACCTTTCCAGACCCCTTGCAGACTGCCACTGCAGACACAAGTGGGGGGTATGGCTGGCTGATTCCCCTGCACACAGAAGGGGCTCAATACAGGTTTTGTAGCTTGATGAGTGAGGTGCTGGGTGCTCCTGAGACACTGAAACCGGAGGCACCCCGGCCTGGGGCACAACCCAAAGCCAGGCATCAGCCAGGTGCCAGGATCTAGCCCCGTGGAGGGTGCTAGCTCCGAACCCGGAGAATCCCATAAAGCCCTACAGCGCTGCTCCTTCCTGCTCCTGCAGCCAGCATTTAGTGAGCACTTGCTGAATGCAAGGGCTTAAGGTAGCATTTGCTGAGTGCCTGCCCAACACAAGGCCCCAGGGCACCGTTTGCTTAATAATATAAACCCCCTCTCACTAACCCACCTTTGGCTTTGGGCGTTTATGAAGCCCCTCCTGCATGCCAGGGACTGGGGCGCTAGCATGCGAGGGAGGAGAGAGGGACTTTAGGCAATCCATCACACACCTGAGCACAGGAGGATTCAGTGAAAGGCTGCCAGGGTGCTCAGGAGAAGACCCCAAACCCAAGGGGGCTGTTGTGCCCGAGGCCCCGCCCACACATGCCCCGCCCACCCACTGGCCCTGCCCACCTGCAGGATGATGATGAAAAGGAAGTAGAGGTTGGACACCCGACTGAACTGCTCGTACAGGTTCAGAGGCAGGAAGGAGAAGAAGTTGTATTTGGCTGTGTGGATGGCGTTGCTCTAGAACGAGAGCCGTCAGGAGTCGGCGCGCGGTGCTGCAAGGGCGCGGGAGCTCCCGAGCCAGCCCTGCCCACTGCACCTGGCTGCCCGGGGTCCCAGCCTTGACCCCCCCTAACACCTCGGCACCGTCAACAGAGCACACACCACGCCAATGCCGAAGGCCTGCAAGGCCTCTCTGGCCAGCAATGATGATATGAGAACTGCAAGGCCTCCAAGCCAGCCTTCACTGAGGTTCTGCTTCATAGAACCTCGGGAAGTCATGGAGTGAAGACACAGCAAGTGATTGTGTCTGCGTCGCCCCCGGCTTGCCCCCACCACCATCGCGAGCAAGGGCCTGGGCGACGGAGGGAACTCAAGGTCACGCTGCAGAGTAAACGGTAAAATGTGTGCCGGGGGCGTGGCTAGGGGTTGCCGCCCCAACCTTGAATCCGCCCCCGAGGGGTTGGGGGAGTGTCCAGAGAGTGAAGCTCCACCCCACCCCCACCCCACCCCCAGGATTCAGGAAGCCTTTGATTACATTCCTATTTCTGCAAAAATAAAGAAATTGGGCCCTGCGACGCAGACCGCTCATCCTAGGGAAGCTGAGGCAGAAGGATCCGGAGTTAAAGTGCCAGGTTACCCGGTGGGATCTCCTCTCAAAGAATAACTCCGAGAGCCCCAGGGCGGGGCCAGGCCTCCCGGCGCGCCGCCGTGCAGGGGCAGCCCGCAGGCTCACCTTGTACTTCTTCTGCCTCCAGCACAGGAAGCCCTTCTTTTTGCACTGCTTGTGGTAGGCGCTGTCGTTGGCCTTCACCTCCCAGGTGAACTCTGCGGAGGGGAAAGCGGGCGGCCGGAGCTGCTGGGGCTCAGCCAACAACAGCCGCCAGCGCCAGCGCGTCGCCCTGGAACTTGAGGGCTAATAGGCCCCCGGGGGCCCCAGGTACCGCGGGTGCCCGTCTCAAGCCAGCAATTTGGAAAACATCACGACTGGACAAGAGTGCAGCTGGCCAACCGGTCCCTGCACTGGGCGGCCGGTGGAGGCGCAGTGAGGGGGACGCTAAACCCCCTCACTCAGGGAACAGAGCCCCGGGAACTTCTCCATCACCTGATTAGAGGGCAGACTGGGGACACAGCCCCGTTTTGGCCTGTGGCGCGGGCTGGGGGGTTCCCCTTTGTCACCCCACTTCTCCTCCCTCTTCACCCCCCCCATCGGTGGCTCGGGACCGCACCTGTGTCTTTATCTTCTACATCCCCCTCAAGGTGGTCATCTTCCATGTTGGTGGGGCTGTGGGTTGGGAAGCAAGAGCCCTAAGTCACAACCGCCCTGTCCCACAGTCTTTCCGGGTAGCGCCTGTCACTGCCCTCAAAGACCTTGAGGTCTGCGCTCTAAAATACGGCCTCACAAGCCAGACAGGTAAGCCCAGTGCCTAGGAGGCTCAAGTAGGAGCTCGGCTTCTAGTTCCAGCCTAATCTGGGCCGTGCAGCCAGACGCTGCCTTGCAATAAAAACAAAGGCTGGGTGTAGCTTAGAGGATATCTCTGTCTGTCCGTCTATCCACCTATCTGTCACCTTTTCATAGCCATCTCAACCCTCCTCTCTGGGTTTTCAGGATCGAGCATGACATCCCGAACTCATGAGCTGGTCACCCGGGATGAGGGACCACACCTCTGAGATGCTGTGGCCTCCAGCCATGGCGAGGAAGCTGCCCCTGGACCCTCCAGTCTCCTCTGCGCCCTTCCTGTCCCACCTGCTCCTGCAGGACCCCCCCCCCCCCCCGTGCTCAGTCTGTGTCTGCAGGCTGACCCCACGGGGCTAATGGGGGTGTATTGTGGCATCTCACAGCCTGTGTATATGACCATGAAGACTTAAAATAGGTCTGGCCTGTGTGCTGACACACGCCTCTAATCCCAGTACTCGGGACTCTGAAGCAGGTGGATCTCTGAGAGTTCAAGGCCCGGTTGGTCAACATAGTAAGACCCTGTGTCAAAAAAATAAAAATTAAAAAAAAAAAAACAAACAAAAACAAGTCTGGCCTTTGGGACTGCTAAGTGTGATGATGTCTGTCACCCTGATAATCCTTTCATTTTTTTTTTTTTCTTTTTTGAGACAGGGTGAAGCTTTGCAGACCATGCTGGCCTTGAACTCATGAGTCTCCTGCCTCCTGGAGCAGCTAGAATGGATGACAGAGGTGTGTGCTCCCACACCTGGCTGGGTCTGGGACCGTGAGCCTGGCTTTGTCCTGGGGGCCCTGCACCTCACTGCAAAGCTATACAAAGCTTATCTAATCAGCGAGCATCCCCCCAAGGCTCTTCACCCCCTGCCCGAGCACTCCAACCCCCAGCTTGCCCACAAGCCCGCCCGCCCCCATCCACAGCCCTCTCCCTTCCCTGATGGGTGTCTTCCTCACCCTTCAGATCTCATTCGGTACTTCCCAGACCGGCCCGTTGAGATCCTGCGCCTCCTGGGGGCTTCCTGAGTAGCTGGGGTGTCCCCCATCTCGTCTCTGGTCACCTCACTTCTAGTGCTTTAACTGCCTGACTGTCTGCTGAGCTCCACACCTCCCCAGGGGCTGGGGCTGCTGGCGGCTGAGTCATGTCCTGCCCCTGGGGCATCTTGCTGAGGCCTCCTCCTGGCTCAGCACCAGCTCTGGGTCCTGGGAGACTGGGGCCCTTTTACCTGATTATCAGCTGAGGAAAACTGAGGCTGGAGGAGCGTGTGGGAGGGGTGGGGCGGAAGAGACTCTCTGAGGGAGCTGAGATTCTAGGGGACGCTCTAGCGCCAGGGGTTCTCAACCTTCCTAATGCTGCCGCCCTTTGATGCCTACGGTCCCTCCTGGTCCGAGGACCCCAGCCAGAAAATCATTTCCCTTGCTGCCTCACAACTATAATTTCACTCCTGTTAGCATCCGTAATGTCAACGTCTGTGTTTTCAGATGGTCTTAGGCGGCCCCTGTGGAAGGCTGGTTTGACCCCACAGAGGCCGCGACCCACAGGTTGAGAACCACTTCTGTAGCCCGACTCTCTTTAAAGTTGATCTAGGGCAGGAATACTGCCCAGTCACCAGACACCCCCGTTAGCATTATCCCCAGGCGGCCACGACGGTAACCTCCAACTCAGTGTCCGGTTTTAGGAACCTCAAAGGGGCACCATCTCCTGCCCCAGTGCTGACACCCCAGGCCCGAGAGACCACCGGGGCCCCGAGAGGTCACACCTGTGCCCAGGATGCACAGCTCGTGAGCGCAGGTGCTCACCTGGGAGGGCCCGGCTTGGTGGGGCCGGGCTGCCTAGGGCGGGCCGCCAGCGGCGTCCAGGGCCACCGATGTTAGCCTGGTGCCAACCGGCCAGAAACGGGCAGCGCGGGCTCGGGGGCGGGGCATTGGCAGGGGGCGGGGCCTGGAGGAGCCTCTCGGCGAGCGGCCTGAGGGAGAGGGGTGGAACCGGGCAGCAGGGGCGGGGCCTGGAGAAGGTGGGACCTGCCTGAGTGGCGGAGGAGGTGAGGGCGCAAGCCGGGTGTTGCGGGCGGAGTCACGGCATGTGGGTGGGGTCAGGTCTTGTGGGCGGGGCCATGTCTTCCGCGCTCGGCGGGGTGGCTTTGGTTGTTGTGGGCGTGGCCAACCTGTGTTAGGGGCCACGCTTGTGGGTGGTGCAAGAACGGATTGTGCCAGGAATCATGGGCGGAGGCTGGGCTTCCTGGCTAGCCGGCCTGCTTGGTGGTAAAACCCACGCCTCCTGGGTAGTGTCCCGTTTCGGGGCTGGAGATAACGCCTTGTGGGCGGAGGCATGAATCCTAGACGGGGTAGCAGGGCGGGGAAAGGAAGGGGATTTGGGCACAGGTAGGGACAGAGGAGCCTTCCTGAGAGATCAGGCCAGGGACTAGACAGAGGCCTGGAGCCTCTGGGGACGAGGTTAGAATTGGGAAAGAGTAAAATCACGATCCAGGGGGCAGGGTGCGAAAGGATGGAGAGCTACAAGAGCGGGGAGAGACCCGGCGGAGGTGGGTCATTGGTCTGGGCTTCATTCGGCAGGAGATGAGACGCTCAGGCTGGCCTTACGCTTGCCATGCAGCAGAGGACAGCCTCCACCTGAGCGCTGGAATGACAGGCATGGCCACCATGCCCAGTTTACGTAGAGCTGGTAAGGAACCCAGGGTCTCAGGCCAGCACTATCACTGAACTACTTCTCCTGCACTTAGGAGGAGGCTCTTTCAAGCAGGCGGCCGCAGACCGCCTTGCAGACTGGACATTGCTGAAGCTCTGTGGGACTTGGATGGGAAGGTTGCGCAAGTTAACTGCACACCAGTGATCATGTCTGAGCCAGAAACTTTGCTTGTGTACTCATCTCTCTGCCCAGGTGCCTTCTGGGAAAGGGAGCACACGAGGCGCTGGTGGCCACTTTTAGCATCTGCACACAGTGAGCCTACTATGTGCGTTAGCCAGGGGTCCTGGGCCTGACCAGGGTGCTCCCTGAAGACACTGGAGAGGAGGTGCCCTGAGCAGGGATCCCATAGGCCCCCTTCACCTCACCACACCCAGCCCCAAGGTCCCTCCCCCTAACCCCGCCCTTCCTGGCTGTGTGTCCACCTCTCATCTCCCAGTGTTACATTGAGTGCCTGTAAAATGAATGAATGATGATGACTGGGATAAGGAGGGCACTCAGGACCCAGTTCCGTGATCAGAGTGGCAACTTCTGGAAGGCTCCTGAAACTTGGAAGCTTTGAGCACTTCAGCTTGATCCCTGCCAAAGAAATCAGTACTCAATTCGCTCACTCAGCATTAACCCAGTGAACATCTGATCAAATCTTTCTCACATCCCTTTTATCTCCCTTTTATCGGAGACCCCCTACCCTGACTTATACAGGAGATGGGGGTAATCAGTGTGGAGGTTCCCCCAAGGATGCAAGCATATAAAGGCCCTGAGGTTCTCAGTTGCAGAGCCACGGCAGGCTTAGCTAACAGAAAGATCCTTGTTGGCTGATCTTCTGCCCTGAAGCAACTCTCCAGAGGACCTTGACATGTTCTGGACGAGGCACAGGAAGACACACACACACACACACACACACACACACACCAAAGCGCCCAAGACAGATTTGGGCTTTTGTGAATAACTGAGTGTTTATTTATTAAAAATCTGTTTACAGAAGGTAGAAGAGGGGACACATTGGTCAAGAGAACCCGTAAGGGTGGATGCCCAGCTTAGCAAAGGCAGTTCCCCTGGGAACTGCGCCTCCCTGCCCACCATGCGGATGGCCCCTGGAAGGTGCTCTGGCCATGGGCCGAGGCCCTTTCGGGAGGCATGAAGGAGCATTTGGACTCGGCTCCCACAGAGTCCTGACCCTCGTGCCCAGGTTATCCAGCACGGGTCTAATTCCAGGTAGCCAAGTCTGGACCCAACGGCTCCGGGCCTCCTCTCTGCCCTACAGATAACTACCAAGGGGCAGCCAATCAAGCCGAGGTCACACTGAACATGAATGCTGCAAGTTCTTTCCGGGCATGGGGACAGAGTGGCCTTGAAGGCCAGGCTGTTTCTCAGGACACCAAGTGGCAGGGGCTCTCTCCACCCTGGACCTTGTCTGAGTAGCTGGGCTCACTCATCACAGGCAGAAAGGAATGAAGGCATGCCACCAGCTTGCACAGGGACACAGCAGCATTGTGACCCTCAAGGAGGGCTGGCGAGCACAGTCTACCCAGAGCTCTGGGCTCTAACAAGACTCCCAGAGCAGGGTGGCATGGTCCCAGGGCCCCTTGGATAGAGTTGGTTTTGGGGCAAGGGAATCATTTTTCTTGACCCCGGTCACTGAGACAGGGGCCAGCCACATGGGGGTGTGTTGGAGTCCTGCCTGGCCCCCAAAGCACCACACACTATAAAATCTAAAGTTCATACAAACATTTATTCTGTCCTTACCCACAGAGGGAGGCAGGATGACAGCCCGGAGGCCCTTAAAGGCCAGGCCTGGGGGCTGGCTCTGAGGCTGGGGAGTCCTGGTAGACTGGGGTGAGTTCTGGAAGACACCCCACAAGGCAGGGCAGATATCCAGACCCATGGGACTGCCCATGTGGGGTTCAGCCCCTGGACCCCAGTGGCACCAGGGCTGGATTCCTCAGCTGAGGAGGTGTGCAGGTCAGCAGGTTTAAATTAAAAATTAATAAAAATAACAGTATAAAGTAAAAAAAGACAAGCCCTGTCTCAAACCATGAGGGTCTGTCCTGTTGCCTGCGTTATGTACAAAGGGGCAGAAGGTAGGGCCCGCTGCCTGGAGCAGTGGGCTGGGGAACTGACTGGGGCACAAGGGCCAGGCCAGCTCTGCTCTGGGCAGCAGCAGGCTCCGGGGAACAGGACTGGGGAGGAATGGTGGTGACACATAGGATAGGGGCGGGGCTAGTCTCAGGGTTGATCTTAGCCCCGGCTCTGGGCTGCTCCAGACCTGTAGCCCGAGCTTGGGAGGCGCAGGGTCAGCTGTCATGTTTTATTACAGAGTTTGAAAAGAGGCCTAGGGCATCGGGGCTGAGGGCACTGGGGGCGTCGGGGCCGAGGGCAGCCAGGGTTGAAAGGAGGGGGGGCGTCATGGTAACGGTGGTGGAGGGTAGGGAGTCATCGCTTGGTCTTGGCGTCTTCTCGGATCTTCCAGATGACAAGGTGCATACAGGCGCTGGCGTCCTCACTGGAGCTGTGCCCATCCACTACAGGGCAGACATGGTCAGCATGGCCCTGGCTTCCTGGACCTCCCAACCACAGCCCTGGGCTCCGGCTCCTCACCATTGTCTTGGATGATCTGTCTGAGGTAGTCGGCCATGAGGTTGCGCAGGGAGCGCTTATAGGGCAGGCCCAGGCGGTGTGGGAACAGCACAGATGTGTCCACCACTGTGCTGTGGATGACCTACAAGGAGGCAAGTAGGTGGTGGAGAGCCGGCGGGCAGGGCTGCCCACCCTCAGCCCCAGCAGGCACAGCTACCTTGAGGGCCAGCAGGTCACTCTCTAGGCTGTGCCCAATGAGGATGGTGTCAGCGCTGAACATGCTCAGCAAGACGGCCTGCACATCCCGCAGCGTGATGCTCGTGTCCACAAGGTCGGCCTCTGTCACCCCTGAGAACCTGCAGAGGGCCGGATTCGAGAGGGGCGTTGGGCAGGGCAGGGCAGGAGTGAGGCCTGGGCCCCGCGGTAGGCCGGGACACACCTGGTGTTGTAGTCGACAACTTCATTGTCAGGCTTGACAAAGGTGTCATACACGACCTGCATGTCTGTGTCCACGACTGTGACTCGGGTCAGCTCCAGGCCATACGTGGTGTAGGACTGAGGGCGTGAGATGGGCACCAGATGCAGCCAGCCTCCCAAGCCCACACCCGTGTGGCAGGCCACAGCTGCTGCACAGACCCTGTCAGGGACAGCAGGGGAGCCACCGAAGGCGGAGGGAGGTGCCGGCTAGGAACTAGAAAACCTTCCCAAGCAGGCGGAGGCCATCACTCAGGATGAGAGCCTGAGCACAGACAACAACCTGACACGGTGGTGACAGCCCTGGGTCTCAGGCAGCCACTCACTCACCTGCTGGTCCCAATCCAGCTTCACTTCCTCACCCTGCCTTGTCGTACCCAGCCTCACACAGCACCCAGATTCCCGAGACCCCAGACTCACCATCTCACAGTCAAGGGCGAAGACCCCCGCATGGGCATCTTCTGGCAGCTCCTTCTGGAAGGTGCGCACAAAGCCCTCCAGGTTCTCCTTCCGGCCATCCTGCACGTGTTGCTGGGGGACAGGGAGGTCAGGAGCAAGGCCAGCCCAGGTCACACATGACGCTGGGGAACGCCCATGCCCTGGCTAGGCTTGGGACCAGGTGCCTGTGGGGCGGCTGGAGCCACATGCCAGGCCTGAGCATAGAGCTCAACCCCAGTGCAGCCAGCACAGTGACCGAGTCAGAAGCCAGAAGCAGGGTGGCACACAGCAGGACTTACCTTGGCGACCTGACAGCCCACAGAGCCGACCGCAGCTGAGCAGCACATGTACTGGGTCTCCCAGCCCCCAGCCACTGGCGAGAGACAGAGCAGCAGGGCTCATGGCACCTGCCAGGAGGCCCTACCCACCCGGCCAGGGGCAAGGAGCTAAGAACAGGATCTGGGGTCAGCAGCTGATGCAGGCCTGGGGAAGGACCCCACCCTCGGGGACAGTGCAGGAGGGACGCAGCAGACCCT